AGTCCTTGCCAGGGATTGGCAGCAGGGCTGTGCTTGTGCATCGACTCCTGAATAATCTGAATCCTTAGCTTAGGGAGGAAATGAGCCAACAGCAGCCTGAGACCAAGATTGCTGTGTCATCTTAGAACCCCATGGCATGTCCATTCCAGACTCATCCTTCCCCCTCTCTTTCTAAGAGAAGTATTGTTATCAACTGCAAGTGAACTGTTCCTAGAGCTCCCTTGTTCCTGTGCGTGCTGATATGGGTCCTGTTGCTCTCAGAGCTGTGAAGGTTTGGACGCATGGCTGGTGTGATCAGAAAAGATGGTGATCTCTACCAGAGTTCATATTTGAGAATGATACTTCCTTGAACTCCCAAAGTGAGAAGAAAAGGGGGATGGGATCTAAAGAACTCTCTGGGTCTTGCTCACTTTTCTGTGGTTCTGGCGAAAATATGAGTTTGGGTTCCTAAGGGAGTATGAGGGAACAGTGTTGCCCTTTGGTCATGATGATCCTTCCTCAAAGCAGCGTTAGTAGAGAAATAAAATTTAGAGCTATAACAAGTAACTTTCAGTAAATCCATTTTCTTTCTGTACGTGATACTTTGGCAGAATACTAATGCCAGTGGCAGGTAACTGTACTTTTGGTAAGCCTATATGTGTTCTGTGAGTTGTAAAGGGCCTTTGGTAATAATTATGTGTGTTATTATGAGCAAGCAGAGACCCTAACTGAGATTGCTTGAGGCACAGTACAGGTCAGATCCACTCCACAGAATTCATTGTCTGAACAGCTGGATAAGGGAGAAGTAAAATGAGAAACAGGTACAGAGATGGATGAAGTGTCTTCTCTGGTCATGCTCTCAGTCAGTGACATCCATACAGAGACATCTGTAACATGGAAATGAAATTGCTGACTCTCGGTCTGGTGCCCTCTTTACATAGCTATATGCAGAGATCTGGGGGGAAGCATACGTCTGAACCCTCAGCATACTGGATCCCAGCCATTTCGTGAATGCTGATTACTTTGCAAACGTACTGCACACCATTTGGTCCAGGATCTAAAATGTCAAAAATCTGTAGCAGCTTCTACAAGTTTTCTTTATTTTTCTGGTGTTCATTTACATGCAATTCAGTCCTTCCTCCTCCAGTTCATTCTCCTTGTTTTTTATTTAGATCCTATGAATACCATGGTGAGAGGTTTATCATAACCTTTGGAATATTTGACTATTAAAACATATAAAAATGAGATAAATTTTGATACAGCAAAGGGTAGATGTTTATTTCAGTGTAAAAAATGTTGAATCTAGGCTGTCTTCCCTTAAAAACTCCTCTTTGACCTTAGAGGCATGGCTTAGCAAAGAATTCTTTTGGCTATGATCATCAAGGTGTCTTGTTACAGGTGACCTACCCAGCCAATTTGTAATCTACACGGAGGTGCAGGGAGGTACATCCAGACTGTCCCTGTGACCTTTCTCTCCTGGCACCTTGTGCAATGTCTAGTGGACACGTTTAGCAGAAGTCACGGTGCAGTAAAAGTGACTTACCAGTGCTGGGCACAGCGTGAAGATTCCAAACAAGGGCCCTTGCATAGGAGAGGTCACATTTCTGTCACCTCGAACGGAAACCTCATGTGTAACGAGCATTTTGAGGAGTTGAGTAGGTTCGTTTTTCCCCATATATGGACAATCCAGTGTAATTCCTGGTGTTTTGTCTTTCTGTGTTTGCTGGAAACTGTTTATTTTTCACTCCTGAGTTAAATCACTTAATTTCTTACATTGAAAACATAAACTTTGTTAGGCATTGTACAGTAGTATATAAAGGAGGATTTTTTTTAAAGTATTATGTAGTCAAATACTTTCAAGTGCTTGATGAACATTTACAAATGAAATTCCTGAGAGAAATGAAAATAGGGCTCTATAATATGACCTTATGCTAAAGAAAGCACACAGGATGTTGTTATAATACATGTAAAGGAATTTGTTATTAAAACTAAAAAGAGAAGAGAGCGTATTTTTCTAGAGTTCCCTGTCTTCAAGGCTAACTACCCGGACAAGATACACATGGTACGCAAGATCTCCATAACTCCAAGCCTGGACTAAACAGTGATGGAGCAGATATGTGGGCAGATAGGTTTAATTTCAGCTATGACCCTATCTAGTTAAGACCTTGTCTAGTTGACCTTGTATCTTAAATAGTGTATCTTAATAAATTGAAGACTATAGGAGAAAATTACAGACTTTTATCTTAACTATAGTCAGTGAGACAACAAGGTGCAGGATGATTTTCTATTGACCTTTGATGATACCACAGCCCTTCATATCAAAATTACATTTTAAAGGACATGTTCACCAAGAGACTTGTTGCTTTTGTCAAACACTTTCTGCTGTCTTTCTGAAATTCATGGTAGACCCATGTTTGGTAGTTCTAAATTGGAGAAATTCACTAAAGCGTCTTGGTTCTGTGTGTTTTAGACCATCCAGAGGCATCCTAGGTCTCCTATTTATACCTACTCTATGTATTTCTTCCACCTCATATGTTAGCAGGGCTTTATTGTGGTTTCATAAGAAACCGATTTTATTCTATAAGAATAGAAATGTACAGTATGGGAATGTAGCTTGCTGATGAGGGCATCTAAATAGTTGGAGGTTCTGGACATAAGTCCATATAGCACCACTAAAATGGAAGAATGAACAAAATTAAGACGATTAGGACAAATGAATCAGACAAGTTGACTAAAACTATTAACTAACATTTCTATTAAGAGGTATTTTTTTTTAGTCACTCTTAATTCTCTAAGCTGTTCTTTCAAGATAACATTCTAGCCACTACAGGGCAGATCTGTCTCCCTGTTGCAGCTTTCTAGCACTACATCTGAGATCTGTATCTTTAAACTCCATTGTGCATGTGCTCCATTTTTAGTTGGTTTTAGTTTAGTCTGTTAAAATAGACATGTGCAAAGGTATGGATTTATCCAAATATTTGAATTGCCTAGGTTTTTGAAGGCATTTTCTCTTCATTTTCCTGATTCCACATACAATTACTGCCTTTCCTGTCATGTTACTGGGTTCATTAAACACAGTATTTACAGCACTTTCCTTGC